GCTGGGTGTGAATCCCCGTTCTGCCAGTTACGAGGTATGTGACCTCGGCTAACACACTTACTCTCTCTGTGCCTCAGGTTCCCCATCTGTAAAACAGTCTTATAATGACACCTGCCTCATAAAACAGGAATTAAATGAGTGACTACATGTGAAGGGTTTAGAACAGTGCCTCTTAGCCCCTACCGCTGGCGCCCTTAGATCTTTTCGTTAGCATTGAATTCAGCACTTTCTTCCTATCAACGCTGCTTAAATCAGTTAACTGGCATCTCACCTTCACGGGCTCACTGCATGGCTGCTGTGTTCATCTTAACCATCAGCATCATTTTGAACCTCTCCCTGATACCTAACCCCGGTCCCAGCCCGGGCGGTGGAGCCTCTGCACCGGCAGAGAACAGCACCCAGCCTCGCCCTCACTCTGACACTCACCGGCCACACTGTCTTCCGTCCGTTTTTTGCCTCTGGCCCAGGGCGCAGCTCACGTAGCGTTTTCGGCAGCTGCTTGGGAACCGTTAGCAACCGGAAGTGGCTAGAAGTCTTGCGAGAACTTAAAAAGGGGGCCGGCCTTTTCCGGCGGCCCAAACACTTGGGTTCCGGCCTGGAAGGAGGCCCGGGGTTCCCGTAAGGAGAAACAGGGGACCCATTTGGATGGATCCAAAAAGATCCTGGCAGCTGATTTGAGCTAGGCTCGCCGCAGTGGGAACCTCCGGGATGCCTGGGGACTCGCATCTGCGGCGACCCGCAGTTTCCGGTCCCGACCCTCTCTCGCTGCAGTTGTCCACCTCGGCCTGCGGCTTGGAGCGCGGGGTCTCGGTGGCCCTGGCACCCAGGGGCCGGAAGCCGAGGGGCGTTGCGGTACAAGAGCGGACCTGCGGAGCTGCCGCCTCGGGAGAGAACCGCACCGACCGCTGACCGGGAAGGGAGGGCTTTCCTGTTTGAGTGCAGCCCCGCCGGCGGGCGCCTTAGTCTCCCGGGAGACAGGCGGGCTGGGACGCTCTTGTTTGACTTCAGGATGGCCTGGGGGAGGGGCGCCGAGGAGCGTGTCCCACTTGACGTCGCGAGGTCGCAGACCGCATTTGCATTTGCTCACTGTGAGCTGGCAGGACCTTGCGGACTTAACGGAGACGAAAAGCGGCCTACTTGGAGTTTCTCTGATCCTCAGGGGAAATGAGTGTCCAGAGCGAAACAGGAGCACAGTGCTGGCACTCGAATCCTTTAAACCTGGATTCAGATTCTGAGGCCACCACTCCAGCTAGGACTGAGGGCAATTTATTTCTTAACCTCTCCAAGCCTCTGTTTTCTCGTTTATGTAACTCAGGCTAATAACGGGGTGCCTATTTCGTAGGGTGCTTTTGACCGTCAAGTGCGAGAATGCATGTAAGAACATTCTGCAGGTCCCTACCTTCCCCCTTGTCTGCTGTCACTCTCATCCATGTCAGACAACTGGGACTAACTAACCAGCTTTCGCTTTTGTGAAGCATGGGTAAAGAAAAGTGAAGTTCAGGGCTTGGGGAAAGGAGATTCTGAGATCCACGGAGGTGCTCATCCCAGCACTTTAACCTCACCTGGCGTCTGGCACATGGTGGGTGCTCGATAAGTACTTGAATGAATGAGGACCTACTTAGGAGGAAGGAATTTTTGAATAAGACTAGAACAGAAGGGAGAGGATGAATCAGATTGATTAGCTACTTGACAAAAAAAAGGCAAACCATTTTTCCTGTCAGAAATGTATGGTACATCTGCATATTTGAAGGGCTTGCCACTTACTGGAACTGGGAGGGAGATCTCAGAACAGACACTCAACTAAAGAAGCTTTAATCTATTGATAGCGAATGTAATAATAGCAAGTATATAAGACAGAATGTGATCAGTGCAAAATAGAATAATAGGGTCTTGAGAGAGAGTTAGAATAATAGAGTGTTTAGAGTGAGTAGTGAGCAATGAAGTAAGTCCTTTGACTTGGGAGTGCAAGCGAATTGTGACCAGGGGTATGGAATAGGGAGAAGGTTATTCTGGAAGGCAATAAAAGGCAGACAAGGGCCGGGCGCGGTGGCTCAAGCCTGTAATCCCAGCACTTTGGGAGGCCGAGGCGGGTGGATCACGAGGTCAAGAGATCGAGACCATCCTGGTCAACATGGTGAAACCCGTCTCTACTAAAAATACAGAAAAAAATATTAGCTGGGCGTTGTGGCGCGCGCCTGTAATCCCAGCTACTCGGGAGGCTGAGGCAGGAGAATTGCCTGAACCCAGGAGGCGGAGGTAGCGGTGAGCCGAGATCGCGCCATTGCACTCCAGCCTGGGTAACGAGAGCGAAACTCCGTCTCAAAACAAAACAAAACAAAAAGGCAGACAGGACACTGGTGGTAGAAACAAAGGAAAACAATGTCTATCAATGTCCATCAATGGGGGAAGATTACATATGACATGCTATTGAGGAATACCTTTCAGCCATCAAAACGATAATCAGTGACAAAAGGAGTGTCAGTACAATATATATTCCATTTTTCTTGAAAAAAAAATGCATATGTAGATGTAATTTATGGGGTATTTGTGCTGGAAAAGGATGCACTCCAAACTTAACAGTGATTACTCCATGTCAAAAGTTGTGAAACTCTTACCCTACTTGCAAGCTAATAATTTAGCTTGCCATAGTTTTATGGATACTAAGAGAAGACCCTGGACTCCTGCGTCAGAGACAGAAGACTTTATTATTTAATAACACAGGCATCATGAGCTTTATATTGCCTAGTTGCCAAAGCTTATGTTCCCAAAGCCCGCAGAGGGGGCTAAGCTTGGCCTTCCTCTCCTAGCATGGAACAGTGGGTTTGCATCCTAGCAGAGGAATTCTAAGCTTAGGAAGCCCCAGAGTGAGCTATTATCTTTATTATCCTGATCAGGAAACAAATGTGCTGTAGAAGGAAATACAAACATCCATGAAAAGCTAACCTGAAAGAAAAATCTACCGTAAGACTAGAAGTAATTTGAGAGATCATTAAAGAACTGTCTCCCAACATTCCAGGTAAATACCTTTTGAGGGTAGAGGTGTCAGCTTTTTAAAATTATATATAATTCTATATTGATTTTTATCGTTTTATTAATTTTTAAAAATACAAAAAATAAAAGGCAAGCAGAGAAGTTTAAGTTTTACTTAGAGATAAGGAACCACCCAGGGTTAGTGATCTGGAGAATGCTGCGTCTTGGATAATTGGGAAGACTCTCTCACAGTCACATAAGTGTTGTGTTGCAATCACATAGGTGTGGGATAATTAGAACTCAGGATGCTGGTTACATCAGTGGAAAAAAGTAACATTTCAAAGGAGAAATCTGGCTCTGATAGTTTCTCCTTTATCTCATATTTCACTGGGTAAACCAAGGAAACCTCTCAAGCCTGAATAATGTAGAAATTGGTGATATTATCAACCATTCTAATGGGTATGTGGTGGTAACTCATTGCGGCTTTAACTTTGCACTTCCCTGATGAATAATGATTACTTTTTAATATACATACTGGCCATTCATTTATCTTTTGTAAAGAAAGTGTTCAAACCTTTTGCCTATTTATGTTGGATTGTCTTATTCATTCAACTTTGAGAGTTCTTTATATGTTCTGGATACTTGTTCTTTGTCAGATAGATGTATTACAAATATTTTCCAGTGTGTGGCTTTTTCTTCACTTTCTTAATGGCACTTTTTGATGAGAAGATTTAAATTTTGATGAGAATTTAAAGATTTGTAGTCAAATTTACTAATTTTATCTGTTGTAATCAGTGCCTGTGTGTCCAGTTTGAGGAAACTACCTATGGCTTGCCACTTTTACTTGCTGTGTGTACACAACTTTGTACATAGTACGTGCAGGCACAGTTGTGTGCACATTGCTTTCGTACAACTACATATCTGCACCACTTCAGATCTAAGAATTTATTATTTATTTGTTTGTTTATGTCGAGACAGAGTCTTGCTTTTTTTTTTTTTTTTTTTTTTTTTTGCCAATCAGTTTGAGCTTATGAGGTTGCTTAGGTTAGCCTTGAACTGATGACCTCACCTTCGTGAGCGCCATGAGCTCCGGCGGGAGCCACTTAGAGTCTTGCCTTACCGCTCAGGCTGGAGTGCAATGGCAGGATCTCAGCTCACTGTAGCCTCTGCCTCCCAGGGTTAGGTGATTCTCCTGCCTCAGCCTCTGGAGTAGCTGGGACTACCGGGGCCCGCCACCACACCTGACTAATTTTTCTATTTTTTGCAGAGATGGGGTTTTGCCATGTTGGCCGGGATGGTCTCAAACTCTTGAGCTCAGGTGATCCTCTCGCGGCTTCCCAAAGTGCTGGGATTACAGGTGTGAACCACTGCACTCAGCCAAAAAAAAATTTTTTTTTAATGTAAAAAAAGAAACTGAAAGAATTGTAGTCTGACACCAGTTACTTCCAGTTACCATCCCAGGTCGAAGGCATCAGCTGTGAAATAAAGAGCAAAAATAAAGGCTTCGAAGGAGTTCAGAAGCACTGTAGCTAGCTTGTGTTTTTTATTTACTTGTTTTCATGTAATAATTAGATGACAAACCCTTAAACCAAAACGACCTGGTCCGTACACAAAATACTGGGCAGTTAGTAATTGGGAAGGGTTAGAAACATTGCTGGTGGCTACCAGTAGGAGCAGATAAAGAGAGATATTAAGGTGAAAATTGGAGGAGCCCTGATAATAAATAGGTGGTCGGGAAAGGCGTTGAAGTAAATAAATACGTGGGACCTAAACAACAAAAAGTAACACTTCCTACAACCTCCACCCCTGAAATCCTATTAGTCTCAAAAGTTAGAAGCTCTAATGCAACAGGTACCAGGGCAAGTACCATGCCACGAGATTTCACAAAACTGTGAACTGTGATGAGCAGGAATTCCTCACGAAGTTTGGAGCTATGCGGGAGGGCTGGACATATTTATGAGTCGAGAACAACAGGAACGTACAGGGTAGGTACAAACGCGAGTCGTTAGAACGCTCCTCCTCCAACACTTTCCCAGCCTCCCGTTCACAGCTCCCGCCTTCTCACGTCGGACATCGGCCCCCGGGTGACCGTTACTACTGCCAGCGAACGCGCAGAGCCGCAGGGGCACACAAGGCGGAGGGGACACCAAAGTCCGTTCTTGCCCAGCACGTCCGCTGCCCCAGCGACTGCGCAACCCTGAGGCAGGCAGACGCGAGAGGAACCCTAGGCCCAGCACGCCGCAGGTGAGGGGCGTGGTACTCTGGTACCCTCAGTTGTCCGACCATAGAGCTTTTAGACCTCCAGGACTCCTAGAGAGCTTCCGGAAGTGCCTTTGGGGCAAGATGCGTGCTGGCCGGTGTGGTGCCTCCGCTGATTTGGGAAGTTAGTGGCCGGAGGGGCAGGTCCGAGTACGATTTTTCTCCCCGACCTTCTTCCCTGTCTGTTTCTCTTTTGCAGCCCCCCCTTCCCCACGCCGGGCCGCCTCTGCAACTCACAGTGAGTACGGTCGGGCTCTGGGCCGGAGGAAAGTGGGTGTTTCGTGGCTGGATCAGGCCGCAGCTGAGGACAGGCCTGAGGGGTCCGGAGAGGGGCCTGTGCGGTGGTCGGCGCCGGGGAACGATTCTGCCGCCTTCGTTGCCGCAGTAGGCAGCGTACGTGCCCGCGAATTGCCCTCGAACTTTTTGCGAGGGAACTCTTTTTATGAAGGTTCGCTTTTTTCATGGGTAATCGTTTTGTGGTATGATTTTTGTAGTCGATCGTATTTATTTTAAAATGGGGCACTGCCCCCCATGTTATTTTTTTATCCAACTATTTCCAGGGTCTGAATTGTTTTCACTTAGCACTATTTTGCGTTTCGGTCACAAAAAATTTTTCATTTTTTTAAAAAAAGAGATATTTTGCTTTTGGAAGCCCCACTTATCCACAAAAATCCATTTTTGCTGTTATTCTGCTTTCTTTAGTGTATTAAGAAACTGGGGGTGTGTTGACTGGATAATTGTACAAAAGTTTACTTTTTTTAAATATCGGGTAATACAGAATTCAACATTATCAGAATGCCTGTTTCATTTATTAAAGCGAACTGAAGTTAGCCAACGAGGAACTCTGGGAGGGGCCCCATTTCCAAAACTCTGGTTAGTAATGAGTAGTTTTTGTCAGGCTACTCTGACCGCCACCTTTAAAAAATTTCGGTTTTTGTTAGTTCCGTTGAGTATATTTACGTAGCAATCATTGTTTTAGCAAATGTATACATGTTTTGAATTTCTGTTGTTAAATGTAAAATGTCATAGATGTTAATTAAAACTTTCAGCTAGTGAAATTTCAGATAACAAAGCATAGAAAATGTAGACGAAAAATGTAAGAAGAAAATGTAAAAATCAGTCTATATTTACACAGTGCTTACCAACTTAATACAGACATGTATGTACAAAACTAAGAGGAAAGTACATAGTGGAGTAACTTTGCACTCATTTATTTGTAAGTTGTAATTCTCAAAAATGAGCTGATTAGAGAGGGAAAAGACCAAAAAATAGAAAAGTAGCCACTAACTAGAATAATCAAGATGGGCAATGGACAAGACCTGTTGGCTGATTTGGTATAAAAAAAATCAACAAACCTGAAAATTAGCTGGCTTTCATCAGTGTCATTATTGAGACTTTAATGCCACATCCACAGTATAAAGTTCTTGAATGCTGCACACTTCACATGAAAATATTTTATACCCTTCTGTACTGGTGAGCGCTGGGATTGCACCTGTGAATAGACACTGCTGTCAAGCTGGAGCAGCATAGTGAGACCCTGTCCCTAAATAATAATAATAATAAATATTTTATAGCCATATGGATGAGGATTGCCCAGTAATGTATGGCCAGTTGTTCAGTAGTTAAAAATGAACCTGGGCTTAAAGGAGATTTACAAGAAAGCGTAAGACTATCACCATATAATATCACATTCTACACAGTTAGAATTTCTGTCCCATGTAATGACCTTTAAGTTTTTAGCATTAAACCGTAAGTAGCTATTTTAAGAAAAATGTAAGTTTGTTTGTTAAATTGTAATTGATTTTAAAAATTATTTTAAAATGAACTAATTTTAAAATAAATCATCTTAAATTATAATTTATTCAAACAGAAACAAATACATAATTTGTTCAAACCAAATTGATTACCCTTTCTCAACAAAATTTCAGCATCTTCCTCAAATTCACTCTTCACCCAAATCTCACTATTCTAGCAAATTCCTCCAGTTTTCTGTAACGTCATCATCAATGAACTTGACCCCTGATGTTAATTGCTATATTTAACTATATATTTTGCTCCTTAGTTCTTCTAATCTGTAGTTTACTCCCCATCCTGTTGTTTCTGGCCTTGTCTAACTTTTAAAATAATTTTCAAATTCCCTTCCTTTTCTGTACACACTCTCTAAATAGAATTTGTTTCTTTGTTTGTTTTTAACGTTCCTGGCATTCTTGGATGGCCTTTGAGTCTACGAACTCTGCTGAAATTGAATGTAAAATTTTTTGTCTATGAACATTTTGCTGGAAAGAAGTTCTGTGTTTTCTTTAGGTTGAAGAGTCTGTAAACCAACCGCCCCCAGTCACCGCCTCCAAAAAAACTGAAAAGATAAGCACTGCCTTGATGATCCATATTGGGAGCTATAAGTACAGTAATCCACTTTTATTCCTAAGTACTTCTCTTTTCTGTCCTTTGTGGACTATAGGTCTCTGGTTTTATCCTGAGGTTAGCGTCTCATGCCAGCTGGTTTTAGGTGTGCTACCTTTACTTAACGCTCTTCTTCATTCTCTACGGTGTTGCCTGAAATACACAGATAATGGTCACCTCCACCAACAGACATTTGCACATTCTCACAATGCAGCAAGTCCTATATTTGGACCATATAAAAAATGCTTTGGTAGGAATGACAAATGGCAGGGGAATGACAGAGAGGAACTCATCAGAAAGGTAATAGGTAAATTACTGTTAACAGTTGAATGGTTTTAGCTAGACCAAGATTTATCAACCTTGGTATTGACCCTTTGAGCCAAATAATAATTTGTGGTGGGGGCTGTGTTGAGCATTGTAGGATCCCTGGCCTGTATACCCAAGATAATAGTAGCACCCCTTCCCTCCAAAGTCACGAGAACCAAAATGTTTACAGACATTACTAAAGGTCCCTGGGATGAGGGTAAGGATGATATTGCCATCAGTTTTGAACCACTGAGCTAGAGTAGAAAACTCTGTAGTCGAATGGAAGTATGAGAAAGCTACAGCCCGAAAGGCTTTATGAAAGTGAGTTTAAAGTAGTTAAAGCCACGTAGGTTTACATTTATAAAGGGCCTTGCATACCGTGCTAAAGAATTTGGTTCCCTATTGAAGTATTTTCAGGAGGTGAGTCGTATTACATGTTTTTTTAAAAATCTCCCTGGCAGTTTAGGACTACTGTAAAAAAAAAAAAAAAGTGTCACGAAATTGGTAGTTTAATACAATAAACACGTACTGTCTCATAGGGAGGCGAGAGGTCCAACATCAGGGCGTTGCCAGGGCCATGCTTTTCTGGCTTCTGGTTGTCACTGAACTTTGGCATTCCTTGGCTTGCAGCTACATAACTCTGTCTCCGCTTCTGTCGTCACTTAGCTCTCATTCCTCTACGTGTCTGTGTCTTCACATGACCGTCTCCTTTCTGAGAGTCTGTTTCTGTGTCTTTTCGTCATTTCTCATTTTGAAAGTGTGCCGGTCATACTGGTTTAATGGCCTGTCCATTCCACTATAACTTCATCTTAATTACATCTACAAAGCCCATATTTCCAAATAAGGTCGCATTCGCAGGTACTGGAGGTTAGGACGTCGGCATATCTTTTTGGAGGACGCATTTCAATCCACAGCTGACAACACTGTGGAACACGAATAGGAAAAAGCATAACCAAGGTTACCACTGCAATTCGAGGCAAGAGATGATGTCTGTACCAACGATAGAAACCATAGACATATATTTCACAAAGAAGTGGGATTGTGGAGTGGAGCTTTTTTGGATATCAGGTCTTGTTTGTAAACCTCACTCTTACAAGAAATATGAACATATTCTGTGTTTGCTGTTGTAAATATGGCTAATGTTTTTTGATTCTATGAATGAGATAAAGATACCTTTCCCCATGGGGAAAAGACAATTAAGTTATGAAGTCAGAATTCCTTTGGAACTAATAAGTATACAGTTGTAGGAAAAGTAACATGAAAGCAGTACACATTTAAGTAACAGAGGTGTAGAATGAGAGGAAAACAACTTCCCACTGGAGTCACCAGAAAAGGATTTTAAAGGCAATGGTATTTTATCTTGTCCTTTAAGAAGGTAGTATAGGGGGTCCAAAGTGGCTCCTGCCGGAGGTCATGGCGCTCGCGAAGGCGAGGTCATCAGTTCAAGGCTAATCTGAGCAACCTCATAAAGCTCAAAGTGATTGGCAAAAAAAAAAAAAAAAAAAAAAGAAGGTAGTGTTGGTACTAATGAAGGAAGTCAAAGAAGACTTCAGGGGAGACACATTGTGTTCATGGAATGGAAAACTCAATATTGTTAAGATACCAGTTGTCCCTAAACTGACCTATGGATTCAGTACAATACCATTCAAGGTTTTTTGTTTTAGAAATAAATACACTGATTCTAAAATATGTATCAATAGACAACAGAACCAGAAACGTCAAAATGATTTGAAAACGAACAGCAAAGTTTTAAGACTCACACCTACTTGATTTTAAGATTGTAGAACTCACACAATCAAGACAGTTCTGTATTGCTGAAAGAACAGATGCCTAGGTCAATGAACAGAATAGAGATTCAAGAAATAGACGCTTATGTATACATACATATAGTGAACTGATATTTGATAAATATAGAAAGACAGTTACATAGATAAAAGGGACACCTTAAAATGATCATCCAGCCATACCTCAAACCCTGTACAAAAAATTAACTCAAATGGATCATAGGCCTAAATGTAAAACCTAAAACTATAAAACTTTTTGTAAAAAACAGGAGAAGATATTTGTGACCTTGGATTAAGCAAAGATTTCTTAGCTATGACACCAAAAGGACAGTCTGTAAAAAAATATGAACTTTTTGTTCTTCAAAAGGCCCTGTTAAAAGAATGAAAAAGGAAATACTTACAAATTACATATCTCATAAAGGACTTGTGTCCAGAATATATAAGGAACTCTCAAAACTTAATAAAAAGAAAAAGCTAATTTAAAAAATAGGCAAAAGTTTTGAACGAATACTTCACTAAAGAAGATATATAGACATTAAACACATAAAAAGATGCTCAACATTATTAGTAGGGAAGTACATACTAAAGCCATATGAGATATATATTAAAACTGTAACGAGTTGCCGCTATGTATACACCTATTAGAATATCTAAAATTAAAAACAAAAACAATATGAAGTGCTGGTCAGAATGGTGAGCAACTGCAATACTCATGGAGAGTGGAGTATTTTTTTCCATAGCAAAGTGCTTTGGAAAACGGTTTCACAGTTTTTTATAAAGTTATACATGTATGTATTTTATGACAAAGTAATTTTACCTCTGAATATTTGCCCACATAAAAGGAAAACTACATTCACACAAAAACCCATGTAGATGTTCACAGTGGCTTTATTCATATTAATAAAAAACAAAACAACTCAGATATTGCTCAACTGGGAAATGGAGAAACATTTAAACATTCATCTACATAAGGAACAAACTGCTGCTCCAGTGTTGATAGAAACAAGTGTATTATGCTGTGTAAAAGATGCCAGACTCAGAAGCCCACGTACTGTATGCTTTTATTTATGTGAGATTCTGGAAGTTCGTTTAGTGTGGTGGGAGTAGACCTTTGGGTTGTAGGTGTTGACAGGGCATGCAGGTTGCTTGGAGTGCTCCATAGAGAGTTCTTGAATTGGAGGTAAAGTCCATAGTAGAGGAAATCAGCCTTGAGATAGGAGGAAAGATAGGGAGCACAGGTAGGATAAGGCATGTTAGGTGTAGAAGAACAGAGTGTTAGGAAAGTTTTTTGACAATTCCTTGAATTAGATTGTATAGAAATTAGTCTCATCTGTTAAGAGTAAGGAAAAGGTCGAGAGCTGAAGTGTGTAGAACCAGTTTAGTACAGCTGGTGTAACAAAGGCTAAAAGGGGTTAAGTGAGTAACCCTGAAGGCCAGCTGAGAGTCAACACAGAATTTCAACGACATGGTTTCCCGACTTTGTTTAGCCATGTTCCACATCCCCAAACATAGTGATGAAAGTAGAAGGAAGGATGGTTTGCATGACTAGCATGGCAGGAAGTTAAGGAGGTAAGTAGTTATTTCTGGAACAGAGTGGAGGATCATTTAGTTGGCTGAGCCGTGAAGTCCATGTCATGATAAGGAGCTTGTTAAGATATGATAGTAAGTTACAGTGACTTTTGACTTGCCTTAACACTATTATATTTTCTTCATGAAGAAGTGCCCTCAGAAAAGAGACCCTCAGAAGAGTCTTCTCTTAAGAAGATAAAGAAGGTAGTGGAAACGAGCCTCCTGAGCTTTTCAGGCCCTAAATGGCTGAAGAATCAAGAAAGCCTTCAGCCCCATCCCCACCAGACCAAACTCCTGAAGAGGATCTTGTGATTGTCAAGGTAGAGGAGGATCATGGTTGGGACCAGGAATCTAGTCTGCATGAAAGTAACCCTCCTGGCCAAGAACTGTTCCGCCTGCGCTTCAGGCAGTTATGCTATCAGGAGACACTAGGACCCCGAGAAGCTCTGATCCAACTACGGGCACTTTGCCATCAGTGGCTGAGGCCAGATTTGAACACCAAGGAGCAGATCCTGGAGCTGCTGGTGCTGGAGCAGTTCTTGACCATCCTACCTGAGGAGCTCCAGACTCTGGTTAAGGAACATCAGCTAGAGAACGGAGAGGAGGTGGTGACCCTGTTAGAGGATTTGGAAAGGCAGATTGATATACTAGGACGACCAGTAAGTAGAAGGAGGTGTGCATGCTGTCACTGTGGGAGTCCTGGAAGCTCGGTAGAGGGACGTAGGCATGATAGTGGGAGAGCAAATGATTAGCCTCAGTTTCTGTTTGATAAGGATGAAAATGGTTTTAGCACAGTGTGGCCTGTAGAGTTCTTTTTACTTTGACAAAGGATATAATTTTTTTTTTTGTCATCATAACATCCCTACAGCTGTATTGTTCCTGTTTGCCAGATGGGAGCTTGATGCATAGGGAGCTTAAGTTACTTTTCTAAGGGCACCCAAATAATTAAAGATAAATTTGAGAAATCAAGCTTTCTAGTTCCTTATTAAAGGATTTTCTACTGCATAGCACTGGCTTTAAGTTTGTTTGTTATTTTCCTCCATCCTCTGCTTTAGGAGCACAAAATATTGTTCTGTGTAGCAGGGAAGGCATCAGCAGAAATCTTTTCCTTTAGTACTGAGCAAAAATGATGCTTTTCTTTCTGTGCTAGTCTACATATTTGTGTTCCTTACTCTCTCTAAGAAGTAAGGGAGCTTCTGCTGCATCCTTCCCCAAGCATATATCCCTGTAGAGGTGTTCTTGGTCGTCTTTCATTGTTCACTACATTTCTCAAAGGGATTCCTTATTATCCAAATGTCTGTCGTTTTTAGGTCTCAGCTCGTGTACGTGGACATAGGGTACTCTGGGAGGAGGTAGTACATTCAGAATCTGCACCAGAGCCTCCAAGTACTCAGCTCCAATCTGAGGCAAGCCAGCATAAATCTCCAGTGTCCCAGGAGTCACAAGAGAGAGGTGAGTAGCCAGATTTCATTGATGACAAGTGGGGGACGTTGAAAGAAAAGAAGTCCATTTGGGATAGCTGTCTAGTTCCTGAAGAACCAAGAACTGAAATCCTGTTTACAGACCAGTCCCAATGTCTGTGTTTAAATGTTCAGGCTTCAAATATAGACTGTTCATCCTAGTGGCAAACTCATGAACAAATTAAAGAATTTGGGTATTTTTAATGTATTTACGTATTTCTGTTACCCCAGTACCTTTACAACATAGGTGTCTTTGAGTTCATGCTGATATTGTCATTCCACTTTATTTGGAAATATTTCCGTATGTATTTCCTCCGGCAAGAGCATTTCTTAGGTAACCTAAATAAATAAATTTCTAAATTTATCCGCATTAAGAAATACAATATTGCTACAATACTAATGGTGGGTCACAGTTGACCCAGTCATGTTCTTTGGTCCGGAGTGCAGTCCGGTATTGCACTTGGTGGTTAGTTGTCATGTCTCTTCTTTAATTTGGAATCATTCCTTGGCCTTTCTGTTTTTGAAGAGTACAGGTGTGTTATGTTGTAGAATGGCTGCAGTTTGGATGTGCGTGATGTTTGCTCATGTTCACAATGAGGTCATATATGTTTGGCAGGAACACCTCACCCTGCCGAGGATACATGACCTAAGTCATGACAAGAGATGTTGTACCCTTCTCAGGTGTACAACAGGACTTTGTCCCATTACTGGTGATGGTATCTTTGATGACTTGGTTAAGGTTATTCTTGCTAGGTTAATCATTGTATAGTTACTGTTTTTCCCTTTGTAACTAATAAGTAGCTTTTGGAAGATACTCTTGAGTGTATGGAGTGTATGTAAATATCAGTCCTCATTAAACTTCTGTTGCTAAAACACTAGTTCTAGTGTTCATTGGTGCTTCTTGACTGACTTAGTGATTACTAGAATGGTTATGAAATAGTGATTTCTTGACTGGGTCATTCCTTCCACATTTCTTTATTGTAAAGAAGAGTGTTCTCTCCTCCCAATTTTATTATTTTTATGTATCAGTATGGACTCATAAATTCCTATTGATTCCATAAGTATTTTGTTACTGTCTTTATTTTGTTTTTGTTTTGTCTTTGAGACAGTCTCACTCTGTCATCCAGACTGGAGTGCAGTGGCACAGTCTCGGCTCACTGCAGCCTCTGCCTCCCAGGTTCCAGCGATTCTTATGCCGTAGCCTCCCCAGTAGCTGGGATTACAGGTGCATGCCACCACACCTGGCTAATTTTTGTACTTTAGTAGCAACGAAGTTGGCCGGGCTGGTCCCAAACTCCTAGCCTCGAGTGATCCTCCCGCTTCAGCCTCCCAAAGTGTTGGGATAACAGGCATGAGCCACTGTGCCTGGCCAGTGTCTTTATTTTGATGGTAAATAATCTGAGATTTGGCCATAGAAGGCCCCTTCAGCCTGGCTCTTGTGTCCTCTTGATATTTTCCCATCATTTCTTAAATTTTTTTACTTTATTGCAGAATGAGATTCCAGTATCATCTTCCCCTGCATTTCATATGTTTTCATTTATATGATTCAGAGTAGTTTATATTTATGAAATTTTTATATTTCTAAAGAAACATTAAAACACTCAGTAATTCTTGTCTGAAGTCCTAAAGCTCGTTGCCTAAGATACAGTAATCTATATTTTAATAATAAGCTGTTTGATATCTGTAGAAAGCAAATACTAGAAGCCATAGTAGACATTTCAGAAAGGTAATGAATGAGTAGAGATTAATTCTGATACTTAGTTTGCCAAGAGATCAGAACCTAAGGAAATACTGTATACAAGCACAAAGATGGAGGTAGTTCTGGGCCGGGTGTGGTGGGTGGATCACTTGAGGTCAGGAGTCAAGACCAGACTGGCTAACATGGTGAAACCCCATTTCTACTAAAAATATAAAAAATTAGTCAGGTGTGGTGGTGTGCATCTGTAATCCCAGCCGCTCGGGAGGCTGAGGCAGGAGAACCACTTGAACCTGGAAGGTGCTGGTTGCAGTGAGCTGAGACCATGCCATTGCACTCCAGCTTGGGCAACAAGAGCGAAACTCTGTAAAAAAAAAAGTAGTAGTTTTGATGGTAGAGAAGAAACTGAAAAGCAATTCCTGTTAGGAAACCAGTATACGTTCTGTTTTTAGTGGAACTTCAGTCTGACTTCAGGGACATCGGCATGAATATGCTTTGTGGGGCAACCGTACATACAGGCCCAGAATCCGAGATATCAGTACTTCATGTGCAAAATTTTTGGTGCACATGTATATCTGCTGAAATACAAATAATTTGGAATAGGTGAGTGCCAGCCCCCACAGCCACAGGACAGGGCTGGTCTCATTCATAGCTCCTTTCTCCTCTCAGCCATGCCTACTTCTCAGAGTCCTACTTCTTCCCAGAAAGGAAGTTCTGGAAACCAGGAAATGACAGCTACACTTCTCACAGCAGGGTTCCAGGTGAGTTGTGCTCTTTCTCACTGAAACTCCGTAGCTCTGCTTGGCAGTGTTTGTGGCATCTGCCCTATATCTAGACTGTCTAGTTTGTAGCAGTACCTACTTGTCTGAAAAATTCTTTTGCCTAGGGACAGATTGATCCTGAATTTCCGCCCGATAAATCTCATGCATTTTCCACTTCTTCCTGGCTATTCAGATCCCTTTACATAGTACATTCCCAAGTCTTAATCCTCTCCCAATACTGATGGATCTCTCCAACTCTAGGTTTGAGCTGTGAAACAGCCCAGTCCCCAAATGGGGATCTTGTTTTGTTTCAGACTTTGGAGAAGATTGAAGACATGGCTGTGTCCCTTATTCGAGAGGAGTGGCTTCTTGATCCATCACAGAAGGATCTGAGTAGAGATAACAGGCCAGAAAATGTCAGAAACATGTTCTCCCTGGGTAAGGAGAGCTGTGATCGTGATTGTCATTTTAGAGTTTTTGTTTTGTTTGCTGTTTGTGTGTATGGTAGCTAACCTTTCTGAAAGACCTGGTTGAGTTTAAACTCAGGATCCAACAGAGGATATAATGTTGAGACTTCTGTTCTCCTGTCCAGAACTTTCTTACATTTTGTACCTGAGTACTGGCATGTTTGCCATTTGGGAATTGATATCTCACAGATACTCTCTGAGTTCATACATTTCCTCTCCAAGTTGTCATGGGAATGCTCCGTAGATTTTTCTCACATAAATTAATTGTATCTTCTTTTGATGACTATTTAGGGGCATTTGCCCATTTCTATCCTGCTAATTAGTTCTTTTAGTCGTTGCATATTCCTTCTCACTCCCCAATTTCACCTCACCTCAGTTGACCCTTTCCTGACTTTAGTTCCCCTTCCAATAACTCTCTTTTTTTAATGGCACCTCTTTCCTAGTTGACTAGCTCATATTAAGCAAAGTCACTGTTAAGAAGCCGTTTTGGAGATAGAAGTTTTGTGTTTACTTACAGGTGTTCCATGTGTACTTGCCTTTCCCCCATCTTCAGTTTCTCCTAGCATAAAGAATAAGAAGTGACATTGGCTTGATGTTTATTGTTTACATTTTAATTTCAGGTGGTGAGACCAGGAGTGAGAACAGGGAATTGGCTTCAAAACAGGTAATATCTACTGGAATCCAGCAACATGGAGAGACAGCTGCCAAATGCAACGGGGATGTTATCGGGGGTCTTGAGCATGGAGAAGCCCGAGACCTTCTGGGCAGATTAGAGAGGCAGCGGGGAAATCCTACACAAGAGAGACGACACAAATGTGATGAATGTGGGAAAAGCTTTGCTCAGAGCTCAGGCCTTGTTCGCCACTGGAGAATCCACACTGGGGAGAAACCGTATCAGTGTAATGTTTGTGGGAAAGCCTTCAGTTACAGGTCAGCTCTTCTTTCACATCAGGATATCCATAACAAAGTGAAACGCTATCACTGTAAGGAGTGTGGTAAAGCCTTCAGTCAGAACACAGGCCTGATTCTGCACCAGAGAATCCACACTGGGGAGAAGCCGTATCAGTGCAATCAGTGTGGGAAGGCTTTCAGTCAGAGTGCAGGCCTTATTCTGCACCAGAGAATCCACAGTGGGGAGAGACCCTATGAATGTAATGAGTGTGGGAAAGCTTTCAGTCATAGCTCACACCTCATTGGACATCAGAGAATCCACACTGGGGAGAAGCCCTATGAGTGTGATGAGTGTGGGAAAACCTTCAGGCGGAGCTCACATCTTATTGGTCATCAGAGGAGCCACACTGGGGAGAAACCCTACAAATGCAATGAGTGTGGGAGGGCCTTCAGTCAGAAGTCAGGCCTTATTGAACATCAGAGAATCCACACTGGAGAAAGACCCTATAAATGTAAAGAATGTGGGAAAGCTTTCAATGGGAACACTGGTCTCATTCAACACCTGAGAATTCACACAGGGGAGAAGCCCTACCAATGTAATGAGTGTGGGAAAGCCTTTATTCAGAGGTCGAGTCTCATTCGACATCAGAGAATCCACAGTGGTGAAAAATCTGAATCTGCAGGAGTTTAGGAACAGCTTCGGTTATAGTTTGAGCATTATTCAGCATTAGAGAAACCACACACTGGTGAAACTAAAAGGCAGAAAGGTCATTGCAACTCTAGTGACAGAATCTATAGTGGTGGCAAAGCTAGAATAGCTTTTTAGTAATTTGGGCCCAGTGCCTTCATGAAGATTGATTAGTTTGACTGTCTTTGAAAGTATCTGATGGAGTTCCTCATGGCCTAATGTATCCTTTAGAAATTTAAAATAGCATTAGAGCAAGTTGCTTGTCATGGCCTGAGGCACTTAATTTTGTCTTTTGGGTGAGTAGCTATAGGATTGAGAGAGGCTGCTGCTCCTAGTTCCTCTGCTTCCTGTCTCCTGTGATCCCCCTCCCATTTATTCCCTTGAAGGTGCCCTTGTATTCCTAATCAGATCTAAGAAGCTCCTCTAGGGTCAGAAGTAGCTTCTATGTGAAACTTATATTTGTATGTAGCTTTCTAGAAAAATTTTTACAGACACTTAATGTATTTATGCTTAAGTGTGCATTTTTTTATTCTAAATTCCCTCTAGTCCGTGGGAATTTGTATTCCCACACAAACTCAGAATGCTATATTTTTAACAGCACTCATTTTTCTTCATATATGACCTTCACTGACTCCACTGAGTCACTGAGCATTCATACATATCCTTCACCACCCTCAGTCCTGGTACCTGTGTCGGCACAGGAAGTGGGCACACTAGTGATGGTTATGGGAGTTAATACAGAGAAAGAAGTGAGTGGAAACTCAGCCCAGCTGTTCTTGAGCTTGAATAGTTAAACATTTTGGTGACTTACCACTCTCCTTCCACCTCCCCAGTGTACACTGTGGTACAAATAGATGTTTGCACTATCCCTAGTTATGGCATCAGATAGGAGAAGGAGATAGAGGTGCTTTAGGACGACAATACTCCTTACAGAGAACTCATCCTTTTTGGCCCATTACAGTACTGCTTTCTCAGGTTCTTATCAGCCTGTGCAAACTCCCTGACACGCCTGTCATTACCTTGCACCCACCTCTTTAGATGGCCTCAGCACCTCACTCATTATTCTCCTTCTGTTTCTTGCCATTAGTTTATAAGACTTTGATATCCACAGTGATAATCTAATACCTTACCTTACAGTTTTTCATTCTTTTGAACTCTGATGCACTCCATCCGTAATCCATGTCTGTAATCTACCAACAAAGATATACTATTAAACTCAGTATCTTCAGGCACTATATTTCGTCTCTGAGGCTTTCCAAGGCTATACCAAGGAGTACTGTGTAAAGTAATGAGACTTGTTTAAAGTAACATGCCAGAACTTATATATCCAATGTGGGTTATCACTTGTTATTCCCAAGTACTGTTATTCCAGTAATACTACTATACGCTTCCAGATATTTGGAACACTCTTAGAATTCCCACTTAATAAACAATATGGGAAAACCGTCTGTTACACTTCACTTTAATCATTTGAGTAGCCACTTCTTTACCAGAGTTGGAGTTAATTTTTGGCTTACCAAAATTTACCTTCAAACTTAAAATTGATTCCATTAAACCTATTCAGAAGAAAATTATATAGGTTCTGGTGAGAAGTTCACAAGTTCACCCTGTGACTGTCCTGAAAAGGAATAACAGTTAATCATATTATTTTTTATTGATGGGTCAAAAAAAGCAATCAAAATCTTTCCTCATAGAGGACCACCTTTTGAGTCATAAATTCTTTCCCTGTAACTTTCCTTCTCTGCCTCCCTAAAGCCCTTGACCACCAACAACATCATAGTTAATCTACATCAATTCCACTAAGCAGTTGGTGAATGAAGGCACCCATCATTTGTCACATTGGTTTTCAACAGTCCTTTTCATTATCATTTATTTTCTCATCCTCCCTTCTCTTATTTCTTTTTTTGATTTATAAGTTACCATTCCTAATTTCTTGGTACTTGAAATTTCAAGAAACCAAAAACAAGTAAATCTGGTTGTATCTAGATCTTCACTCTCTGTTCTCAGTTGTGCCTTACCCTTTGTAAGATACTGATTCTTCCTGGGGCCAGTACAACTTCGTATGCAAATATTAAGTATGATGGGTACATTGTCACAGGGAAAATACATGTGTGTGCACATGTGTATGTACACACACAGCTGCTGTACACTTTAGAGGAACAGTTCCCTTCTATTCCAATAAACAGCCCTTTTAAGCAGCCGGGCGTGGTGGCTCAAGCCTGTAATCCCAGCACTTTGGGAGGCCGAGGCGGGTCGATCACGAGGTCAAGAGATCGAGACCATCCTGGTCAACATGGTGAATCCCCGTCTCTACTAAAAATACAAAAAATTAGCTGGGCATGGTGGCGCATGCCTGTAGTCCCAGCTACTCAGGAGGCTGAGGCAGGAGAATTGCCTGAGCCCAGGAGGCGGAGGTTATGGTGAGCCGAGATCGCACCATTGCACTCCAGCCTGGGTAACGAGCGAAACTCTGTCTCAAAAAAAGAAAAAAAAAAAAGCCCTTTTAGCAAAGCAACATATTAACAGGATTGGGTGCATTCGGGGTGGGATGGCCATAGACCAGAGCAACATATTGAAATATGTACTAATGTACCAGCTAAAGTCTCTTTATGCGTCAGTATTCAGAGTAATGTAGAGCCAGCTTCCCTAAATCTCAGAATTACTAAGCATTTGGCATAAATTCAGAGAAAATAATATGACTAGAAAAGTCAGTGTTATATTGTAAAAAGACTGTGTCTTGAAGGAATTATCAGAGCTGATACAGCACATACATAGAATTAGCCAAATAGTATGACAAAATGGAAAAAGGCTGTGGATTCTTTGAGGACATCAGCAGAAGTCACTCTTTGTCTCAAGTTCACACTGTTAGCATAGAATATTGTTGACTAGGCTATGTGACATTTTGAGCTCTTAGACTGTGAATGGCATGCATTAAGCTCCTTTATCCTACACATTCTATCTTTATGTTCATCTGAAATGAATGGTTCATCAGTACTTTTTCCTCCCATCCTAAGCTTCTCATTTTAGGACCTAACATGATAAGGTGGTTCTTCCATAACTCTTAACACCATCCACCGTAGCCCTGGAAGAGGCATCTTAGGTTTCAGAGATTTTCTCCATGGACCAAGGTGAAGTACTAGAATGTGGTGGTTGATTCCCATACAGAGCAGTTAACTTCACTCTTGGTTCTGAGTCTCCAGATAATAAAAGCTGACATTTATTGAGCACTTAGTGTGTACCCAACCCTGTTATACCTTTCTCAGGGTAATGATAGGTGTATTCGTCTGTTTTCATGTTGCTGTTAAAGACATACCTGAGACTGGGTAATTTATAATGGAAAGAGGTTTAATGGACTCACAGTCCCACATGGCTGGGGAGGCCTCATAATCATGGCAGAAGGCAAGGAGGAGCAAATCATGTCTTACATGGATTGCAGCAGGCAAAGAGAGAACTTGTGCAGGGGAACTAAACTTCTCTTTATAAAACCATCAAATCTCATGAGACGTATTATCACAAGAACAGCACAGGAAAGTTACACCCCCAAGATTCAGTTACCTCCCACTGGGTCCCTCCCATGACACATGGGAATTGTGGGAGCTACAATTCAAGAAGAGATTTGGATGGGGACCCAATGAAACCATATCAATAGGTATCATTTTATTCCCCATTTTATAGATGAGGAAACGGAGGCTTAGAGAGTTGAATGAGTTGACAGATGTCACACAGCCAGTAAGTGATAAAACAGATTCTGACCCAGAGGGTTTGATTCTAGAACCTGTGTTCTGACTACTGTGCTGTGCTGTGTATGATGAACATGGTAATTCTAGCCAGCTGTTTAAAAATACGTAGCCCTTGTTATGGTGGGTAGGGAGGAAGAGAATATGGAATAGAGTTCAAATACGTTACAATTACTGGAAAATTGGTTGAAAATGCCCTTTGGGGTTATAATTATATCATCTTTAAGTGTTGATGCTTTGTAGTACTACAGAGTTACATTGTGCAAATAAAACATATGTAACAGAGTAACTGGGAGGATAAAGCAGTAATAAATTCAAATATATTTTTCTCTAAACTGCCCGAGGGGAAGTAGAATTGTGAAGAAAAATGAAATATCCATGTACCAGGCCAGGCAGATGGTCACTTACGATGGCACTAGTAAATTCATCTACAGCATAAAATGTGAACTACTTTCAACCTCATTGCCCATTTCCAACTACCATTCTCTTTCTCCTCTATCGCTCTATCGTTCATGATTTTTCAAACATGTCTTCCATTTCTCAACCCCCCTTTTTCTCAACCCCCACTTCACATTAATCTGTTCCTAAAACAACTTAGTACTGGCTTTTATACATAGCGTTCCAGTGAAATGTTCTTAGACTCATCTGTGGACAAATAGTAAGGCCTTTTTTTTTTTTTAAGTTCTTGTCCTTTTTTATCTAATTTATATTTTATATTGTTGGAGCATCCTTCCTTTGGCTTGTATGATCCTTTTTCTCCAATATCTGGCTTTTTGTTTTAACTGATCTTTCCCATTCCCTCTTCTCCCCTTCTCCACTCAGAATACTCTCCCTGTCTTACTTTTATTCACTTCATCTTCGTTCTTTTCTTTATTTCTTTTGAGATGGAGTCTCACCCTGTTGCCCAGCCTGGAGTGCAGTGGTGTGATCTCTGCTCACCGCAACCTCCACCTCCTGGGTTCAAGCGATTCTCCTGCCTCCCAGCCTCCCAAGTAGCTGGGATTACAGGCATGAACTACCACACCCAGCTAATTTTTGTATTTTTAGTAGAGATGGAGTTTTACCGTGTTTGTCAGGCTGGTCTCCAACTCCTGACCTTGTGATTCGCCTGCCTCGGCCTCCCAAAGTGCTGGGATTACAGGTGTGAGCCACCATGCCTGGCTCACTTCATTTTCTATACTCCTGTTTATCCATTTTGATTGTTTTTTGTTTATACCTACTATTTGTATTCAAATGACTTCATTTTTCCTGCTCTGTGGGTCAGTTTGTGACTTTCGGAATTTTCCACAGGTACCTATACAACTTGGTATTTGAAAACAGAATTCATTATCATATACACCAAACCCCCATTTTCTTTTTAAATAGGCCTCATTGCCTTATTCATTTGTCCTGAAAAGTGTCACCATCCTTCATGTTTTTACCCCAACCTTGGAGTTACCTTTTTCTACTCTCCATTCTCCATGTCTAAAAATGTGCTGTCAGTCCAGTTTTTAATCAGTTCTGTCTTTGAGGCCTGATCTCCCATTTTTCTCATCTCTGTATAGCCTTTCATGTAGATAAGAAGCCCAGGTTACTGTAATTCTTTTTTTCCAATTTCTTTGCTCTCAGGGTCACCATCTTGTATAAAGTTTCCAATACTCTATACAAGATGCTCCTGAAACTCTGTTTTTACAGTATCTAATTTTCACTAAGTAACACTCAGTAGATAATTCCTGCCAAGCAGTGGTGTTCCAAATTCTCCATTACCTCTGTGCTTAATAGTTGTCAGCCTTCATTACTCTTTAGCGTATTCACCTTGATTCAACAGATTCAAACTTCCCATAGCCTCTGCTGATGTCTTACCAGCTCTTACCTCTGTGCCTTTCTCATGCTGTTATTTTTGCTTAGATTGCTCTTTGGTCCCAGCCATGTTCACCACTCCCTTCCCAGCCCAGCTGTCTTCACATCTTCTGAGTGAGCGCTCCCTGATTGACATCACCTCATGTGGTGACCTCCCTCATTCTGTGCTGCCTCAGCACTTACCTTTTGAGTTTGTACTGTCTCCATGCACTTACTAATATGTTGCTTTGTAATTATTGTCTAGCACTCTGTTACCGTTTCATATTTGTATTTATTTCCAAAATTAAATTGTGAGCTCCTTGAGGGCAGGAAAAATTACTTTTATATTTGTATCTCTGCACCCCTTAGTGCCTAGTGTAGTGCTGAGCACATAGTAGGCGTTTAATAAATGCTTGTTGAAGTATTGTGTGGATTATTCGCGGTGTTATCTACAGAAGTTTTAAAGCTGTTTTCAAGAATGTCTGTTACCACTTTGGGTGCTCAAAAATGTAACCTGTTTCCATATACTAGTATAGTGTATCAGGATCTACCTATACCTAAGAGTAAGGCCAAAAACTTCAACTTTAGGAGAGTATGTGTGAAAAGCTGAAGCTCTCCATTTGGCTAGCCTTGTGAGTCAAGAAAGAAAATAAGAAGCACTAAAGACTATTGTGTTAAGGTTATAATTCCAAAAGTGCTTGAGATTAGGTTTTCTATATCAGATTAGTGGTTCTCTTTGGGAGAAATTTGGCAATGGCTGGGGACATTTTTTGTCATACCATTAGTGGGCAGCTGGGATGCTACTGGCATCTAGTGGGTAGAGGCCAGGGATGCTGCTAAGCATCATGTTTGCGGAGGACACCCCCACCCACCCCGCCCTACAACAAAGAATTATCTGGCCCAAAATCTTTAATGCTGAGGTTTCAAGACTCAATATATTTAAGGTAAATAGGAGAAAGAGATATGAAGTACTGGCAATAAGGAAAATTAGCTCTGCCTAGCTTTAAGAGAATCCTAAGTGTGTGCATATTTTGTGGTTTGTAAAACTATACAATGAAAAGAAGCCTTAGTGTTTGGTGTTCACAGCCACATATGTCAGAGTGTAGATAAACCATAAAACTATTGCTGATGTTTTCAACATCAGATCTGCCATCATGCCTATGCCAAATGTTTCAGCATACAAGTGTTATGGAAGTACAAATCTAGTTTTAGTCTTCCACAACTTGGTTCATTATAGCATCAAAGGCAAAACACTGGGGGCTATCTTTAGCAGAGGGGCTGTAACATCAAAGATTTAGCCTTGAGAACAACATGACCCTCAGTTCCTTGGACAGCCACTAGGCTGGAATTACCAGCACTCCAAGGAAACCACAAACCAGAATATTGTCAGTTTGCCAAGTAAAACCATTCCAGCTTTGCTTGTTTTTAACATACTGTTTTAATCCTATTTTTGGAAGGCAAATATGTAGGAGGAAATGTGATTCCCTAGATTAAATCGTTAAAAAGCAGGCCTTTAGAAGCACTAGCTTCCATCTGCAGTTCAATGGGACTTTATTCAGCAGGTTTAGAAAGGTTCAACTGGGTGCAGTGGCTCGTGCTTGTAATTCCAACACTTTGGTAGGATTGCTTAAGGCTATTCAAGAGCAGCCTGAGCTACAGCAAGACTGTCTCTACAAAAAAGTTCAGATTTTTTTTTTTTAATTTAATTGGGAGACGGAGTTTCGCTCTTGTTACCCAGGCTGGAGTGCAATGGCGCGATCTCGGCTCACCGCAACCTCCGCCTCCTGGTTTCAGGCAATTCTCCCGCCTCAGCCTCCTGAGTAGCTGGGATTACAGGCACGCGCCACCATGCCCAGCTGATCTTTTGTATTTTTAGTAGAGACGGGGTTTCACCATGTTGACCAGGATGGTCTCCATCTGTTGACTTCGTGATCCACCCGCCTCGGCCTCCCAAAGTCCCAGCTACTCAAAAAGATATGGTGGGAGGATCTGTTGAGCCTGCAATGAGCTATGATTGTGCTACTGTACCCCAGTGCCACTATGATTATGCCACTGGGCAACAGGTCTCAAAATAAGAAAAGTTCAGCCCATGTTAGAAAATCCGTTTAAATGTGTAATACACTAAAGAAATAACTGCTTGCTCTGTCGTATTTAGTTATTCATAGTCTAGAACTCTAGGCTTAGTGTTGCAATCCATTATTCTACAAATGGAGGCTCAAAGAGGCCACTTGGTTAGGTTTCCTGGGGCTTTGCCCATTTCTTCTCTCCCCTAGTTATGCCTTCAGGTGTGATCCTTGTATATTCTTAATTCATGCTCTGCCATAAGGTGGATTCAAACTTTGTGCCTCCACGTGTAATGTTTCATTTTAGGAATTATTTCTTTTATCTGCTTTATATCCAAACCATTATATTTACTGACCACGGTGTTTCGAGTTTGATTCTTTCATAAATAACTGAATAGCCACAGAGATTTTGCAGTATCGCGGTTATGTTTTGAAATTACTGCTTTTGGGTCTGGTGCTTTCGCTTTGAGAAAGCACACAAGATATAGTGTGTTGGCTTTCAGATCACTAATAATTAAGACCAGAGTTGTGTGTCGGTTTAAGGAATCCTGTACGGCCCATACAAGATATTTCACCAGCTGCACTAACTTTAAATTCCAAGATTCACGGGTGGTCCTGCCCTGGGTAAAACTCAGGAAGTAAAAGCGACCTTCGGGAGAGGTGAGATAATAAGTCACAGCGGGCGACCCAGGTGGAGGTGGCAACCCCTCTCTGGCAACCTCGAGCACAGCCAGGCCCCGCCCAGCTATTTCCGGGCCACGCCCCGGAAGTGCTGAGAGGGACTTCCGCCCCGCGGCGAGGCCTCGGAGCCGGTTGCTGCTCACTGGCGGAGAAACGCTGGTATGCATTTGGGTGTCGCTGGGGTGGGTGTTGCACCGCTGCAACCCCTCAGACCTCCTCTCCACTCCTCCCTGGGTGGAATGTGGGCAAGAACCCCAGGAGAGGCAACCCCTCCTGGGACGGTGGGGATTTTACCCAAATGCAGTCTTCCAGGAAAGGGTTTTCTCTCGAGATTTAGTGCTGCAGGGGCCCAGAGTTGGGGCTACTTCCCTTTCAGTTACAACCCTGGTCTTTACTGGCGTCTTCAGAGAGCTTCACTGAGTATCAACCTCAAGTGTGCTTCTGGTACCATTTGGTATCACTGCCCACCAGATCTTCCGCTCTCTTTTTCAACCACAAGCGGGAGATTGCAAATAATTGGCAACAAAGTGTTCGGTGCTCTAAATTCAGGAGAGGCTTCTTCCACCACTCAACTGTGCCCGTGACATTTCCTTTTGTTTATTTTATTTTTTGAGAGGAGTTTCGCGCTCGTTGCCCAGTTTGGTAAGTGTAATGGCGCGATCTCAGTTCACTGTTCCAAACCTACGCCTTCTGGGTTCATGTGATTCTCCTGCTTCAGCTTCCTGAGCAGCTGGGATTACAGGCATGTGCCACCATGCCTGGCTAATTTTGTATTTTTACTAGAGATGGGGTTTCTCTATGTTGGTCAGGCCGGTCTCGAACTCCCGACCTCAGTTGTTCCACCCGCCTTGACTTCCTAAACTGTTGGGATTACAGGCGTGAGCCATTGCGCGCCTGGCCGACATTTCCTTTTGAATGCAGAATGTGTTTTCTCTCTGCTTCAGCTTGGCAATAAATGGCTACCCTTCCCTTTAGCAGTCACTTCCATCCACACCAGGGCCCCCTTACAGCACCTCAATGCCGTTCTCTCATGAACCCTTCCTCTCCTCCAAGCAGTGCTCAAAGGCAGTGGGGAAGATGACCACCGCAGACCTGCTGCCCTAGCATGTGATCTGAAAGCCCTTTGCAAATTAGCTCCTTATTTAATATTGCACTCCCCACCCCACCGCCCCCCAACCCTTAGTAGTTAGTGTAACAGCTATGGCAATCTTTGCTTTTTCTTTGAATAAAATAATGTTTCTTTTACAGAAGTGTTCCGGGAAACTCTTCAATTAGAGGAAAAGGTGCTTGACTGCATCTTTAGAGGAGTTGGTTTCGCTGGTACCAAGGATTCTGCTAATGCGAAAACTCCACAGTCCGGCATATTGTAAGCTGGGTCCAGCAGCCCAGTTGACAATGGCTGAGGCCAGTTCCCGATCATCCTGTCTGAGAAACACCAGGTCTGGGAGAGGGGAGCAGCACTGACCAAGGGGAGGGAGGATTTTCCTTGGCTAAGTGGCTAAGCTGGATGATTTCAAGGGATTGGGTGAATCCAGACAGCAGGTGGGGAGAGATAGTATTAAGTCACCTTCAAACTTTTAGTCTCTTAGGAATTCTTCTCTTTTTTACCCTGCTTTTTAACCATGTAAGTCAGACGCTGGACTACCTGTCATTTTGGCGACATCATTTTATCTTTATGTGCCTATATGTCGTCTGTAAATGGGTATAATTAAAGCACCTGTCTAGAGTTGTTATGCGGATTACATGAACAGTACCTGCTAGATAGGAAATGCTATCCAGGTATTCGTTGTAATTATTTCTTACTCTCCTTACTTCCCTGGAATTGGCCTGTTCTGCTGATTTATTCCTTTCTACAGTGATTGTTTCAAAAATTCATGTGTTTAATTTTTTCTGGCCCTAGCTCCTACAGACAGTAAGGAAGTAGGCAAGAAATGCCAGCTCTGGAAGCAGAGGGAGAATAAGATAGTTATTCTCCAGTGCCACCAGGAATATACCACTGAAATGTCAGTGACAGACTCTTCCCTCTCTAGGCAAGTTGTGCTAAACTTTGACATTGTGTGGTCTTCTGGGAAGTCTGGAACTAAGGGACCTGAGGAGACTTAAAACACCTGCTGCATAACAGGTTCAGGATAAGTGAGTTGTGAATGCTTAGCAGAGTCTGATTAAGTTCAGAGTGAGGCTGGAGTGGGAGAGAGTCCAGCTCAGATCTGTCATTTCCGCGTTTTTCGTTGTTCAGGAGCTTCATCTTGGCTGCCAGTTGTCAGAGATAAAAATTGTAAATATTTTTCCATTTTTTGTCTTTGACTTTGCTGAAAGTACTTTTGTTTGTTTTACCTCACAGGAGTTTTTATTCTATGTGGGTCAAGTTTATCAAACTTTTCATTAATGACCTCTGGATTTTGGCTCATAAGGAAGAAGGCCTTCTACTCTGAGGTTATAAAGGACTCACCTCATGTATTTCTCTGGTACGTTTATGGTTTCATTTATAACATTTAAAACTGATTTAAGGCCGGGCGCCATGGCCCACGCCTATAATCCCAGCACTTTGGGAGGCCGAGGCGGGTGGATCAAGAGATCGAGACCATCCTGGTCAACATGGTGAAACCCTGTCTCTACTAAAAATATAAAAATTAGCTGGGCATGGTGGTGCGCGCCTGTAGTCCCAGCTACTTGGGAGGCTGAGGCAGGAGAATTGCTTGAACCTGGGAGGCGGAGGTTGCGGTAAGCTGAGATCGCGCCATTGCACTCCAGTCTGGGTAACAACAGCGAAACTCCATCTCAAAAAAAAAAACGGATTTATTTGGAATATATTGTAGTTTATAGAGTAAGGTAGAAATCTAATTTACTGTCTTTCCAGATGATTATCCAGTTCTCATGCATTTGAAGAGTTCACTTATTTTTTTAACTTATTTGCTACCTTAATTAACATGCTAAATTTATGCCTGATTGTGTCTGTTTCTGGGCCTTTCATTCTGTACCATTTGTCTATCGTGAGCACCACACACTTTAAGTATTAAGTCTTTATAATATGTTTAAAGTTATTTAGGACAAGTGCCCTTCTTTCTTAGTTTCCCCAGGTAGTCCTGCGTGTTTAGTCTTCTAGGTGAACATTAAAATCTAAACAGTTGATATTTTCATGGAAATAGTGTTGAATTTACAAATTAATTTGGTGATTACTCTCTGAGTGCTAACCCCTGAGGAGCCATAAAGTGGCTTAATCTGGGAAGCAAGCCCTAGATTGAAATTTCATCCTGGCTGTTTTAACGGGTGTCTGACCTCAGAAAATTTATTTGCTTCTCAGTTTTTATATATACGAGAGGAGGACTTTAATGTCTGCCCTGTAGGATTAAGTGAGATTAAAAAGCATAAACCACCTTTTTGGGAGTAAGCAATCCTTTCTTCACACCTTCCATTCTGGTCAACTCACAAACCACTGAGAGGAAAGCCTCCAGGATCCTAGAGTGGATGATCAGATGCCCAGACACAGGATATGCAGAAGTCAAATCAACCTTTCTAGGCCAACAGCTGTCCTGTCACTTGGTCAGTTAGTCTCATCGCAGTTTTCCAGGTAAGTTCCTCTTGACTTTCTTCTAGGGTTTTGCGTATGCCCTGGGGTGAACACCCTCAGACGATGGGTAAAACTGTGTACTGTGCCGGGTCGCCTCAGGCCTACGTTTTCCCTCCATCCTTCCCTACCCCTCCCTTCTTCCACCCACTTTCACACTCCTCCCCTTTTCCCTTCCTCCCTTTTCCTCCCTCCCCATCAACCTCCCTCGTCCCCATTGACCTGCCTCTTCTTTCTCTTTCACTTCCATCTTCCATCCTTGCCTGGCCCTTCTGCACTAGCAGTGGACCCTCAGAAGCCCTGGGAGAGAAGATAGCTGGGGCAGGCTGGTGTCTTGAGACCTGTCCCTGGCTGTCTCTGAGGCTTAAGACTCCTAATGACAGGAGGGACTCCAACTTGCTTTTCTGACAGGGCTAAATTTCCAAGGGTGGGGTGCAGGAATAGAGGCCTTATTTTCTCTTGGTCCTGGATCCTCAGTTCTGCTTTGCATTGGTTTTTATTGTTGACGTTGTTGTTGTTAGTGTGTTTTGTAGAATGTCACTCAATTGGGATTTAACTGTTTTTGTTATTATTATACTGAGGCTATAGGTTCTGGGGAGGAAAACCACAAAGGTAAAATGCCGTTCTCGTCATATCAAAGGTGGATACCGTCACCTTATAACTGTCGAGACATAAAACAATTCGTAAGGTGAAAAAAGAGAGGGATAATTAGTGTAATTTGAGTTTGGAGCAAAAATCTTATCAAATTTGGACACACAGCTAGGTTTGTGCCCAAGAAAGTAGCAGCCATCCCTTTTCTTTGGAGAGGTGAGGGTTTATTCCGTCACAGTTCCAGCAGAGACAAAGCATCCCTGTTGCTGAGATAGTGTCCATCATAGCAGAAACAGCAGCATAGCCACGAGCAGAGCGTTTCTGGTCCCCTTGTCTCATCCCAGGTGTTCTGGACTCCTGTGGGAGGTAAAACATGCCTGTTAATGGTGTTATTGGCATCTTCCCAACCTTCTTAGCAGTGGAATTTGTTTCTGTTGCCGTCTCTTTTCCCCTACTCCTTCATCTGCTCTATCTGCAAATCTCTTCCATTTCTGTCTTGTTTTCCTATTTAATTAAATACGATTCGCCCTTAAAAGTAGGAAGTATATATTATTTTTATATTCATTTATAGTCCAGATTACGTGTTTTAGATGCCTTTATAGAGGATATTTTATTTATTTATTTATTTTTGGGGCGGAGGGGCATGCTCTTCTATTGCCCAGGCTAGAGTGCAGTGGCATGATCATAGCTCACTGCAGCCTCCGTGTCCCAGACTCAAGCAATCCTGCCTTTGCCTCCCAAGTAGCTGGGATGATAGGCGTGTGCCATGAAGATATATTTAAATAGCCATTGAGGCAGGTATTCATTCCAACAGTCCTTTGATGTTATTGAGACATGATACAGGCTGAATGAAAGCATTTTATCTGAGTGCCATATGACTGGTGTGTCCCGGGATTATTGAACGTGTTTGAGAGCTCGAGTCTGTATCATGTTATGTTGCTTTAGTAACAGGGAATAAAGCACATTTCAAAGGTCTGTTTATTATTTTAGGAATCGAGGCCAGAGGTGTGAACAAGGTGTCAACCATAACGCGCAGATTTTTCTAAGGATGGACCTGCAGCAGAAGGTCCCTGGCATATATAATGGGAATACTTTACAGACTCCTGGGTATGAAAAAGTCTCTAAGGGGAAGGACCAGTTAGAAAGGCACGAGGGTAGGCGCATGGAAGAAAGACGGTATAAATGCAGTGAATGTGGAAAGAAGTTTGCCCAGAGCTCGGGGCTTGTTCGACATCAGAGAATCCACACTGGAGAGAAACCCTACGAGTGCGATCACTGTGGAAAAGCCTTCAGCGTGCGCTCAACCCTCACTGTGCATGAAAGAATTCACACTGGTGAGAAGCCTTATTCCTGTAATGAGTGTAAGAAAGCCTTCAGTGTAAGGGCACACCTGATTATACATCAGAGAATCCACAATGGAGAGAAACCCTATGAATGTAATGAGTGTGGCAAAGCATTTAGTGTGAGCTCAGACCTTATTAAACATCAGAGAATCCATACTGGTGAGAAGCCGTATGAGTGTGACGAGTGTGGAAAAGCTTTCAGTGTGAGCTCAGCCCTCATCAAGCATCAGAGAATCCACACAGGAGAAAAGCCGTATGAGTGTAAGGAATGTGGAAAGGCCTTCTATGTGAACTCAGCACTTATTAACCACCAGAGGATTCACTCTGGAGAAAAGCCCTATGAGTGTGGAGAGTGTGGAAAAGCATTCAGCCAGATCTCAACCCTTATTCATCACCAGAGAATCCACACTGGAGAGAAACCCTATGAGTGCGAAGAGTGTGGGAAAGCTTTCCGTGGGAGTTCTAATCTTACAAAACACCAGAGAATACATGCCAAAGGGAAGTGTCATCAGTGATTTATGTGGGAAGTATATTCCAGAGGGCTTTTGTTACATCAGAAGACACCATCGAAAGAAGAGTATAGTAAAAGTTAATGCCTTAATTGACACTTCACCCTTGAAATACTGAAGTGAGAAATCACTGAAAAGCAGCTCCATCAGCATTGTGGCCCAGGCTCTGAAATCACGTCTACTTCTGAGAATGTAATTTTACGACTCATAAGGTAAAGCCATTTAAAAACCATATAGTATTAATGTAGTTTGTGTTGACTTAGAGCAAACCAACAATTCAAACATTTTTCTCTTGTGAGGAAGCCTTTTGTTGTTGTTCTGTTGCTATTGATGTTATGGATAAAACATTAAACTCTGGAATTGGAAGCAATGTTGGTTGGTGAAAGAGGAAGGACATAGTTGAATTTGGAAAATAACCCGTTGATCTTGCCTTGCCTTTGATGTACCACTCTGCTCTTAGGATGATTGGATGTGTTTGTGACCTCCTGGCAGAAGATAGAGTATCTCTTCAGGTTGGAATTCCTATAGATAATTTTTTAAGGTGATTCTTACATAGTCAGAAAGCATCAAACCTTTTGACTTACTGACTCAATAAGCCTTTGAATTTGACTGAGGTTCCTCAACCAATGCAAACAAGAACTTTCCAGGGAGATTGAAGTGTTTCTGACCCTTGTTCATAGCTGATCATAGCTCACTGCTGTGTGTGGTGTCATGTATGCAAAGGCTCTGAGGTATAAGAATGGGACACCTGGGGAATTGTCGAAGTCGGTGTTGGTATTAGGAGACTATGTGAAGCTTGATACCTGATGCAACCAGGAGAGCTCAGATTTGATAGGTGTGTTTGATTCTGAAAATACTTTTGCTGTGTGTGGGAATCCTACTACAGCTGTCCACCAGACCATAATCTGACTTCTTAATCCTAATCCCCAAAGCCTATATTTGCACATTACTTTTGTTACTATTTTTTTTCCTTTTGAAGCAGGGTCTTGCTCGATTGCCCAGGCTGGAGTACAGTAGTGTGATCCCACCTCACTGCCACCTCAGCTTCCTGGGCTCAAGTGATCCTCTCATCTCAGCCTCCCAAATAGCTAGTTCTACAGGTGTGCACCACCATGTCTGCTAATTTTTTAGTTTTTGTAGAGACAAAGTCTTACTATGTTACCCAGGCTGGTCCTCACCTCCCCTGCTCAAGTGATCCTCCCATCTTATGCTCCCTAAGTGCAGGAATTACAGGCATGAGCCACCAGATTAGGCTACTTTTCTGTTTTAACAGTAATTTCTCCCTCCTTAGTAATAGTCCTGAAATTTTTTATTCCTAAAATTTAATTGATGTGAGGTTCAAGATGAATATGCCAAATCAGAGGAAATTGCAGATTGCTTTGATGGTTCACGTTTGGAATAAATTGTGGAGAACACTATCTGGGAAGGTGAAATGGTGTTCACTTCTCAGAAAGAGACTCTGTGTTGCAAAGGGATGCCCAGTTTCCACGAATTACCCTAATCAGCACTTCAGGCAGGTCAGCTGTAAAACACACTGGACTTGATGAAGCTCTGAGCCAACTTGTGGCCAGTAGGCACTAAGGTCAGAGATGCATGTGAAAAAGCACATGATGAAACCTCTGACATTGGAGTAGTGCCTACCGCCCTGCACAAGGCCTGGATGTGGGGATTGAAGGAAAGATCGTGGTTCTGGAGCTCAGGTTGAGGAAATGGACCTCAGTCAGGGTATGCGGCACATGAGAGAAGGTAAAACACATACTGTACTTGTAGCAGAAGTGAAGGGCTTCAGGAAGTTCTCTTTGTTGTGCTAAGTTCATGTGTGAATTCCTTTGCCTGCTTCTTCCTGTCTTTGGCGATTGAAGGAGACTGGTTTTTCCTTGATGTGATCTGTAACCCATTTCTGTGCTGTTAACTTTCATGTTTTCACTGTTTACCTTTCTAACCCCGGCTGTCTTGGTTTGTTTCTAGAATGGAGGTTTACAGACAGTCATCTGGCTGGAGGACACCCTTTGGAATCAGCACTGAAATGAATGCCATATCCCACTCCAAACCAGCACGACTATAAATACTAAGCAGTGAGTGTTATTCTGAAGACTTTGAAGGAGAAGCTATTTCTGAAAATAAATGCATTTTGTTGAGGAATTTAACCATTAAGGGATCAGGATATGTGTACTGTGGTTATTTCTTTCGAGCTCAAAGTAAGGTGCTAGTGATTATTTGTTTTAGGTTGCGTGTTGTGCCAGGTGCTAGGAATACAAAAATCAGTGAAAAAAGCACCCTAATTTCAGGGGACTTGCAGTCTATTTGGTGACAGGGAGAAGGGAGTAGATAGAAAACAACAAATACTGTAATAAAACCACTGAATTTGTAGAGTACTTTGCACCAAAGAAGATTTAACAGACACTTACAAATACAATTGAAAAGGTTTTGGAGGAGGACGAAAGCTTGGAGGAAAAAATGAGTTCTTGAGCCGCGTAATGAAGGAGGAGGAGAGAAGGCACAGCGGAAATAGCATATGGAAAAGCATCGTGCCTCTGCGGGGAAAGAAGGAAGTTTTCAAGGACATTGATTATGTTTCAAGGATCATAGAATGCGCATATGAAAGTAGTGTATTATAACTAGACCATGATATTCTTTGTTTGTTCACCTAAAAAGCGTGAAACATACTCTCTAGGCCAGTGTTTTTGTGCAGTAAGAAACGGATTTTATGTTGTGAACTCAGTGTACCATTTTTGGGAGAAGCCATCCTTCTTGGGCCTTGCACTCCTCCATGCCTTGCTGAGTGTGCCAGCATTGCAAGGGCATGGCAGCTCTTTTACTCAGGCCACTTTTTATTGTGATTCAGCTAGTAACCTTGAAAGATGAGGTGACATCTCTTGGAACAAGAGTAGGTTAGCTTGCTTACCTACTTAATTCTTATTACAGAACACTGTTTGATATTCTTTTGGAAAGTTCCTCTTCAATTCTTGTACATGTTTATAGGGATTATTTATATATCCTGGATATGAGCTCTTTTCATAGAAGATGCAAATATTATCTCCATCTCTATAGCTTGCCTTTTATTCTCTTAATGGTGTCTTTTGATGAATATAAGTTTTTAGTTCTAATATAGTCCAGTTTATCAGTCTTTTTCTTTCTCACGTGTCTTGTTTTGTGTCTTTTGAAGAATTCTTTTTCTGCCTTAAGATCATGAAGGTAATCGCTACCATTTTAAAAACTTTTCTAATTTGCTTTCTCATTTATATCTGTAATCCATTTGAAATTTATTATTCTGCCTGAGTGAGGTAAAGTCTAATTTCATTCTTTTCCCATATAGATATTCTTTGCATCCTTATCTCTTACAGAAATGCCTATCATTTACCACTGTTCTTAATTAACGCCAACTTGTCATTAATTAATTTTCCAAAAATGCGTGGATCTGTTTCTGGTTTCCTGTTATGTTCTGTTGCTTTATTTGGCTACCCCTGCATCAATACCAGATTTTCCTAATGAGTATAGCTTTACATTGTTCCGGTATCCAGTAGAGCAAAACATCCCTCCTGCAGAGTCAGACTCCAGGCCAGGTTTCTACATGTCACTTTTCAGGCCCAGCCATAGGGAGTTACGAAGGCCTTATGCCTCCTGCTCATGCCAGATGTGGGGCACAGCCAACGCACTGCGTGGATTCAACCAACTGTGTATTGTCCGTATTCAAAAATAAATAAATAAGTTATCTGGATCCTGATCTTTAGAACCTGCCTTGCCTGAAAATTTAACATTTCCACACTACCTATGAGTGAGCCAGCCAGCACTAGCTGAGAAGAGTTTCACATTTTCTTGACCCTGTTACACCTGCATAAAAACAAGACTTTAGAACAAACAGGTCTTACTTGGTGGTTGCACAGTTCAGTAAAACATTTTAGGTTGAGCTCCATTGATATCTGGTTTCTAAAATAATAAAACATTTTTTAAATACACTATAACAACTGTGTATACAGTGTTTACATTATATTAGGTATGATCAGTAACCTTGAGATGATTGTAAAGTATGTAGGAGGATGTGTGTAGGTATCAGCAAATACTATGCCATTTTATGTGAAGGACTTACGCATGCTGAGGTGTCCTGGAACCAGTCCCCAGCAGATACCCAGGAAAGACCATATACAGCCAGTTCTCATTACTTAGTTGGATCCTATGTTTGCCACAAACACCGGATTAATAAGTACTAAACCGTTGTTTCTAGAGGAAATGCGGGGTTACATTTCTGTGAGCCTTTAGTCACAACATTTTCATGAGTTCATATGTCATTTGCATTGTAACCATTTGTTTGCCAGCATTAAAACAAACCAGTCTATCTCATCAGGGTTTGAAAGCAGATCTTTGTGTATACCATGTAACTCTTTTGTGGCTGGCTTATTTCTTTCAACATTGTGACATGTATCCATGTTATCGAATATAGTTATAGTTCATTTGCCCCTGAAATTTCTAACTTAGTGAAGCATTTCTACATGAGGCTAAGAGAGTATGTTCAGGGATTTGCTTTATATAACCTTGCTTTTCATAATCAAAAGGGTTAGACTTAAAGAATCTGAATGGAAAGTTAAATGATCATCAACTAGTGTCTCAGATTTCACACACGTTAAGCAAGTATTCACTTAAGATTCATGATTGAATTCTGTGAAAAGCATCTGTGATCACATTTTTTTTTTTTTTTTTGAGACGGAGTTTCGTTCTTGTTACCCAGGCTGGAGTGCAATGGCGCAATCTCGGCTCACCGCAACCTCCGTCTCCGGGGTTCAAGTAATTCTCCTGCCTCAGCCTCCTGAGTAGCTGGGACTACAGGCGTTTGCCACCATGCCCAGCTAATTTTTGTATTTTTAGTAGAGACGGGGTTTCACCATGTTGACCAGGATGGTCTCGATCTCTTGACATCGTGATCCACCCGCCTCAGCCTCCCAAAGTGCTGGGATTACAGGCATGAGCCACCGTGCCCAGCCTGATCACATATTCTTTATAGCTACTCAGATTCTTTTTGTGATGATTCAGGGGATGGATGCATGAATGGATAGCTAAACTTTACTCTTACCCAGATATAAAGCCAACCCACTTCAGCATGAGCATGAGTAGTAGAGGAATTTCTAAGTAAACATAATTTATTCCTCAGGAAAAACTTTGGATCTTCTACATCACAGTTTGGGTGCTTAGTTGGGATTCCAAACTTCTTTTTCAAAAAGTTGGAAAGCTTCAGCCTGGAAGATCTTTAGAACAAGTCGCACTTGGTGGCTGCACAGTTCACTACAACATTTTAGGTTGTGCTCTGTTGCCGTCTGATTTCTAAACAAACGTATTTCCTTTACTATAACTACTTCCAATCTTTCCCTCTTTGACCTCCCATAGCACACTGTTTCTTTCTTAGAGGATTTATCTTCTGTTTTGGTTTGTTGGTTTGTTTGTTTTGAGCCAGTGTTTCACTCTGTCGCTCAGCCTGGGATATAGTAGCACGATGTCGACTCAAGGCAACTTCCAATTCCGAGGTTTAAGCAATTCTCATGCCTCAGCCTCCTGAATAGCTTGGACTACAGGCATGCACCACCATGCCCAGCTAATTTTTGTACTTTTAATAGAGATGGCATTTCACCATGTTGCCCAGGCTAGTCTCGAACTCCTGAGCTCAGGTGATCTGCCCGCCATGGCCTGCCAAAGTACTAGGATTACAGGCTTGAGCCACTGCGCCTGGCTCTGTTTTACTTCGTATCTGTCTCTAGTCCTGCTCCTTTGTGAGTTTTGACTACAGGATTCTTCTTTATGGATTCTTTGCAGCCCTGCGTATGGTGACATAGCTTGAGATTGCACAAGTCATCTTGGACTAATTATGATCAATTAATTTTTTATTATGTAACCAACAACATCCCATATCTCAGTGGCTTGCAATAACATAGTTTTATTCTTATCACACATCAGTTATGGGTCATTTGCTGGTGTGCAATACATTCTCTATATTCTAGGATCCAGGCTAGAGGAGAGTACTACCTTGAATGTGCTGCTCTTAGGGCAGTAGAAAAGAACAACCACATAATTCTACAATTAGGTGACGGATTTAAATTACCTACTCCAGAGGAGCATATGTCACTTCCACTTCATTAGCTAAAACAAGTAAAATTACCAAGCCTAGTATCTATGGGATGGGAAAACAATCCTTACAAAGAAGGCACTGTGTAATTCAGAACAGTAACAGAGTCTATTATTGAAATAGTGTATATACTCTGAAAGCCAGTATTTATGGAATGCTTTCTATACCAGGGCTTTTCTTGAATGTCTCATATGTATATTTTTCTCAGTGAACAACGTTATGAGACAGGTACTTCTGTATTCTCATTGTACAGCTGAAGAAGTTGAGGAACACACATTGAATAACTTGTCCAAGATCAGGCAGTTAGGAAATGGTAGAGCCAGGAATTGAAACCAGAAGTCTGACTTCACAGCCTTCTCTCTTAACCACAGTGCTGTATTATGAGAGTTTTCATCTGAAGGTTTATGTTCATGTACCATGCTGGGCTTTAAACAGTTATGAAATGCGCTAGTAAAAACCCTAAAAGTGAGGTTCAGGAGCCCTTGGTCTCATCCTGTCTTTACCTCTGAGTAGCCATATTACCTAGACTCACGCCCCCTACCTGGGCCTCAGTTTCTATATCCTTACAAATAAGGCAAACAGACCAGATATTCTGATACCCCTTCAGCTTTGAATTTTTTATTGTTTCTCCAAGTGCATAGTAAAATCTTTGTTGACGTTGATGTGATGACCTCTTTCATCTTCTGCTATGTTATTATTTTCATAGTAGATCTTGTAGCAGTGTTGAATCACCCCAATCCTCTTCCTTCTATTTTACTTCTCCTAATGAACTACTATTACTACTACTTTCTACCATTTATTGAGACCTACTGTTTCAGAACAGGAAAATAAACCCAAAGAAAACTGAACGAAGAAAGTACTAAAAGAAAGAGCAGAAATTAATGAAAAAGCAAACATATATCCTTACTTAGAGCCTTCATATATACAGAGTGTGTTTTAGGTAGGTTCTCTCTGTAGGCTGCTCATCTATGTTACATTACAATTCCCCTTTCTTTCTCCAGGGAAAAGGTGCTAATTGCATAATCAACTTGTTCTTTCAGATAGCGACTCCTGGCCCTAAACAAGGAGTCTGTTTCAAAGCAGAGTTTTCCAGAGGAAGTCCAGCACAGCGATGGCCAGGGGACTAATAGAGACATTTATCAGGGACCCGACACTGAACAAGTTCATGGGCTTGTGAAGAGTTTACCCAAGTGAGGGCACATCCCCTTGGAAAAAGCACAACAGACATTGCTTGAAGCTGAGGAGAGCATCACTGATAAAGGGACCTGAGACACCTGGGAGAATTTGCTCTGAGAGGGAAACCGTCCATTCAGTTTGCACATGATGTTCAACTTCAGCAACTGTAAGAAAAGAAGCAGCTTCTCAATGTAAAGTTAGTGGAAAAGTCATTGTCATGAAAATATCCCTCCCTATTTAAAAAAGCCTTAACACACCAGCAGCCCTGACTTAAACACCAGCATGTCCCAACTGGACTGTGTATCCTCAACATGGAAAGACCTTCAGTGTAAACCCGAGTCCCATGAAACAATGGATAAGCCATCCTGGAGAGGACTTGCATGAGGGTAAAGACTGTGGCAGAATCTTCAGATACTGTATCTTGTCAGACATCAGAGAAGTCTCGTGGATATCTTCAGTGTGGAAGGCCTTCTGTGTGAGCTCAGTATTACTGAACATAAGTAAATTCATTTGGGACAAGAGTCTTATCTATATTTGTGGGTGTAGCAAAGTCTCAAAGTGCTGTGACAGCCTTATTAAACATCAGAGAATCTGTACTGGAGAAAAATCCTATAGGTCTGAAGAAGATAATAAAAGGTTCATTGTGGTTCAGCTCTGGTCACCCACCGGAGAATCGGCACCGGAGAGCAGCACCATTATGAATGTAGTGTGTGAGGGAAGGCCTTTATTTGGAAGGTAGCACTTTTCAATCATCAGAGCACCCATGCTGGAGAGAAAATTTAAAAATGTAAAAGTGTAGGAAGGCCTTCACCAAAAGCTCAGTCTTATGCATCAGAAAAGCCATACTGGAACAAAACTGTATACGTAGGACCACCATAGTGTTAGCTCATTACCTAAAGGGCATCAGGATTCCCATATGGGGAAAAGCTCTTTGTAAATTATGTGACAAAACCTTCAGTCAAAGTTCAGATCTTATCCAGCATCAGAGTCCTCACTAGATAGAAGCCTTATGACTTGGACAAAGGTAAGAAACATTTTGATAAACCCATCCTTTACTAAGCAACAGAGGATACACAACAAAAATGAACCTCAATAATCAAATATGTGGTAGAAAGATAGTAGAGGAATTTTTCAACATCACTTGTCATGATTAGATAGGAGTGGTAACAATGAAAATTAAAAAAAAAAAAAAAAAAAAGACCAAATGCATATAATCACTTTAACTGGCATTATTTTATGGAATTAAAGACAAATATTATTAGAAAAAGATTGTCATGTCACTTCATGGGCAAAGTTGAGGAATTAAACTTCTGTGACCAGTCTCTATGGATATGTTTTTGAGACGGAGTTTCGCTCTTGTTGCCCAGGCTGGAGTGCAATGGCGCGATCTCGGCTCACCGCAACTTCCGCCTCCTGGGTTCAGGCAATTCTCCTGCCTCAGCCTCCTGAGTAGCTGGGATTACAGGCACGCACCACCATGCGCAGCTAATTTTTGTATTTTTAGTAGAGACAGGGTTTCACCATGTTGACCAGGATGGTCTCGATCTCTTGACCTTGTGATCCACCCGCCTCGGCCTCCCAAAGCACTGGGATTACAGGTGTGAGCCACACCATGCCTGGCCCTCTATGGATATTTAACTGTCTTTGATATTGTTAGCTTTTTATTTTCTGTAGTAAAGATAGAGAGTAAAGGTAAGTCTTTGTAACTAATCACATAACTGTAACCTAGATAATCCAATCATTATTGACTATATTGTTGTTTGTTTGGAAGTCTTAATGCTCATTAAAATTTCTCTAATAATGATTTTGACATTTATTCCTGAGACCCAATAAGTGTATCACTTCTTCCAGACTTACTCCCTTTTATTTTGTATGATGTTAGTCTCAGAAATGATGCAAATAAATGTGTGTTTTGGCAAATCATTTCCCAAAGTTTCCTATTCCTTTGTTTAAAAAAAAGATGTAGAAATGTGAATAGTGTATGTGAACCTGCAATATGCTGAGAAACAGACCTTGTTGCCCTCGTTTATGTTTGTGTCTCTAATATACAAAATAATGACTGATACAGAAAAAGCCCTCAAAACATGATTGTTGAATGACTGCTGCAAGGGTTCTGTTTGTGGGTTGGCTCAGTCCAGCCTACAGAGGGGCCTCTAATTCAGTTTGCCGTAGGATTGTACGCTGTTCCCAGACCTGCCCAGTGAGTGAGTTCGGGTGCTCAGTGTGGATGATGATATAGGATTGTACGCTCTTCCCAGACCTGACCAGTGAGTGAGTTCGGGTGCTCAGTGTGGATGATGATATAGGATTTTACGCTCTTCCCAGACCTGACCAGTGAGTGAGTTCGGGTGCTCAGTGTGGATGATGATATAGGATTGTACGCTCTTCCCAGACCTGACCGGTGAGTGAGTTCGGGTGCTCAGTGTGGATGATGATATAGGATTGTACGCTCTTCCCAGACCTGACCGGTGAGTGAGTTCGGGTGCTCAGTGTGGATGATGATATAGGATTGTACGCTCTTCCCAGACCTGACCGGTGAGTGAGTTCAGATGCTCAGTGTGGATGATGATATAGGATTGTACGCTCTTCCCAGACCTGACCGGTGAGTGAGTTCCGGTGCTCAGTGTGGATGATGATGAACTCCCTGCACTGCACATCATAGTCTGCTCTGTGTGTGGCCTTGCTTTCATTCTTACACACTTTTTCTCCATTCCTCTCATCCCAGTCCTACTTCTCCCATCCTTAAATACTTGATTTGCAAAACTGATCTTGTGTTAATATGTGTCTTTCTGTGCCATTCTACTTTTTGAGATTTATTCGTGTTGATACATGAAGGTCTAGTTCACCCCTTAGCTGCTGTGCAGTGATTGAATGTATTGATTCATTCCTCTAATGAAGGTCATTTTAAACAACTCTTTAAAATGAAACAGTCTTTCTCTGAACACCTTTGGGAGTGTTTTTCTGAGGAAGATACCAAGGAGCCAATTGCTGGGTCACAAGTATGCACAGTGTCAATATCACTAGAATGTAATGATTTTCTGTTCTTCGTGAACTAAGAGACTATCCGGCATCTTAGCCTTATCATGATAGCCCCGTTTCTGCAGGGACTTCTGAGAGCAACTGTCACTTAACACAAATTTATGATCCAGTCCTGGGAATTAGAAGTGCAAAACGGGTATTACTGGGCTAAAATCTTTTTTTTTTTTTTTCAGAGCAGGAGAACTTGAAGGGTAAAATCAGGATGTCAGCAGAGATGCATTCATTTAGGGGACTTAATGGGGAGAGTCTGTTTTATTGTCTTTTCCAGGTTCCAGAGGTTTTTCATGTCCCTTGGCCCTATTTCTCCATCTTTAAAGCCAACACGGAGTTGAATCTTTCTCACATCATATCATTCCACGTTCTCTTTGGATTCTCTTCTGCTCTTAAGGGTACTTGTAGTTACACTGGACCTACACAGGTAATGCAGGATAATCTCCCTATTTTAAGGTCAGGTGATAGGGAACCTTAAACTTCCCTCTTGCCACATAACATCATAATTACAGATTCTGGAGATTAGGACATAGACATATTTGGGTGTGTGGGGAAATTTCTGCCTGCTACATTGGCCTAAGCTAAAAATGTGTCCCCACCATGGTTTGGTTTCTAGTTAGAGTTGCCTTCTTGTTGTATACTCATGTGGCAAAGAGAATGAAAAAGTTATTTGGTGTCTCCTTTTATAAGGGTACTAATCCCATTATGAGTGCCCCATCATCATGACCTCGTCTAACCCTAGTTAATTCCCAAAGGCCACCTCCCCTAATGCCATCCCAGTGGAATTTAGGACTTCAATATGCAAATGGGAGCAGGGGACAAAAACATTCAGTTCATACCAGCATGTAATGGGAATAGCATAGGAGAAGAGAAAAAGGAACAGAAGAAATATTTGAAGCAATAATGACTGAAATTTTTCCAAAGTTAAACACCAAGCTACAGATCTAGGAAGCTCAAGAGAATATGAAGCAGAATAAACAAAACATCTACACCTAGACATATAATACTCAAACTGCAGAAAGCCAGAGAAATAAAATCTTAAGCTAAAGGAAAAATTACTTTACCTATATAGGAGCCAGGGTGAGAATTACACTGGCCTTCTGTTCAGAAAGCATGCAAGCAAGAAGAGTGGAGTGAAATATTTAAAATGTTGAAAAAAATCTCACCAACCTAAAATTCTATAGTCAGCAAAATTATCCTTCAAAAATGAAGGAAAAAAATACTTCTTAGACAAAAAGTGGGAGAATTTGTCAACCATAAACGTAATTTGCAAGAAATGTCAAAAGTTCTTTGGAAAGAAAAATAATGATACTGGTCGGAAATTGTAATGCACATTAAAAAAAAGAAAGCTTTAGAGATGGCGTAAATGAAGATAAAATATTTTTCTTATTCTTAGCTGATCTGACATAACAGTTCAAAATAATAGCAACATATTTGATGATTACAGTTAGATGAAATCGGTGGCAGCAACGTTATGAGGAACAAGAGGGAAGAATTGGAAATATTCTATTATAAAGCATGTGCGCTACCATAAAGCATGTAAATGGATTCGGATTTGTTGTAAACGTGTATTGCAAACTCCAGAACGACCACTATAAAAAGAAAAGAATAATTGCGTACTAAGAAAGGAGGGAAAGTTGAGTCATATAAAATGCTCAGTTAAAACCGGAGAAGATAGATGAACAGCGGAAAACAAAAACAAATAGCAAGAACGATGAATCGGGAAAAAGTGACGAATATGGTAGATAGCAATCCAACCAGTGATCACCGTAAATGTCAGTGGTCTATATACAGCAATTTAAAAAGACTGTTAGAACAGATCAAAAAATAAGACCCAACTATATGTTGTCTTCAAGTAACTCTTTAAATATGAAGACATGATAGATTAAAGGGATGAAGAAAGATACACCATAATAGCACTAATTAAAAGAATGCTGGAGTGCTATGTTAACTTCAATACAAAGTCAATTTTGGAGCAAGAAAAATTATCAGGGATTAAGAGGGGCGTTACATAATGATAAGGGAGTCAGTTTCTCCAAAAAGATATAACAATTCTTGATGTGTATTCACCTAACAGCATAGCATCAAAATATATGAAGCAAAAACTGATAGAACCACAAGAAGAAATAAATGAATCCACTGTTATACTTGGACTCTTTAATATACCTCTATCAGTAAATGACAGATCCAACAGGCAGAAAAATCAGCGAGAATGTAACTGAACTGAACAGCAGTAGATGTCAACTGGAACTAGCTGCCGTCTATAGAATACTTCATCCAATGGCCACAAATACACATTCCTTTCGAACTGACTCCGAACATTCACCAAGATAGATCAAATTTGGGAACATAAGATACACCTTAACAAATTTTTAAATATAGAAATCATACAACTCATTGTGCTCTCAGACCATAATGGAACTAAACTAGAAATCAGTAGCAGAAAGATAACTGGGAAATCCCTGAATATTTGGAGATTAAATGACACACTTCTAAGTAATACAAGTTCAAAGAAATCTCAGGACAGGCCGGGCACGGTGGCTCACGCCTGTAATCTCAACACTTTTGGGATGCGAGGCGGGTGGATCACGAGGTCAAGAGATCGAGACCATCCTGGTCAACATGGTGAAACCCTGTCTGTACTAAAAATACAAAAAATTAGCTGGGCATGGTGGCGCGTGCCTGTAATCCCAGCTACTCAGGATGCTGAGGCAGGAGAATTGCCTGAACCCAGGAGGCGGAGGTTGCGGTGAGCCGAGATCGCGCCATTGCCCTCTAGCCTGGGGAACAAGAGCGAAACTCTATCTCAAAAAAAAATCTCAGGAGAAAAAATATTTGAACTAAATGAAAATGAAAATGCAACTTATACCAGGCACAGTGGCTCATTCCTGTAACCTCAGTACTTTGGGAGTCTGAAGTGGGAGATCACGTGAGGCCAGTAGCTCAAGATCAGTCTGATCGACATAACAAGACCCAGCCTCTACAAAAGGTCTTTAAGAAAAAAATCAGGCCGGGCGCGGTGGCTCACGCCTATAATCCCAGCACTTTGGGAGGCCGAGGCAGGTGGATCATGAGGTCAAGAGATCGAGACCATCCTGGTCAACATGGTGAAACCGCATCTCTACTAAAAATACAGAAAAAATTAGCTGGGCATGGTGGTGTGTGCCTGTAGTCCCAGCTACTCAGGAGGCTGAGGCAGGAGAATTGCTTGAACCCAGAAGGCGGAGGTTGTGGTGAGCTGAGATCGTGCCATTGCACTCCAGTCTGGGTAACAAGAGCGAAACTCCGTCTCAAAAAAAAAAGAAAAAATTAGCCAGGGTTCTGTAATGGAAGTGTGATACAATCAAAAATGAAAAAAAGTAAGAAAAAGAAATAGCCAGGCATGGTGGCACACACCTGTAGTCCCAGCTATTTGAGAGGTTGAGGTGAGAGTATTAATTGAGCCCAGGAATTTGAGGCTGCAGTGAGCTATGATTGCACCACTGCATGCCACTGTGGGAGGCAAAGTGAGGCCCTGTGTCTATTAAATATATATATAATATTTCTATATATATAAATATATATAATATTTCTATATATATATTTCTATGTATATAAATATATATATTTATATATATATAAATATATATTTCTCTCTATATAAATATATATAATATTTTTATATATCTATATATATAAATATATATATATTTTTCCTATGTTCAATATATATATATATATATTTCCTATGTTCAATTTCATGAATATATATATATATATATATATAGAGAGAGAGAGAGAGAGAGAGAGAGAGAGAGAGCAGAAATTCATGAAATTGAACATAGGAAATCCATAGAGAAAATCAGTGAAACCAAAACCTGGTTCTTTTATGGATCCTGTAGATACTAACAGTG